GCTTTTGAGTGGGAGGAGAAGAGTCGTAAACCGTTTTATTGAATTCGGATTTTACGACAAGGACGAGCTAACACTGAGCGATTAAGTTAAATGCTGGGAATTAAACGTATTGGGACGCTCCCCAGAGACTTTTCAAAATAGTATTATCCTTGATCCTTTATACTATATCCTATTTTCAATCCAAGGATTTGATCCTCGACCTTATGCGCCGTTTTCAAGAGCAGATATTCCTACCTACCAAATGCATGCATATGACGTCCAACGTTTATTATGTGCGAGAAAGCCGAAAAGCCGAAAACATGCAAAGAAGTGGCATGGGAGGGTCCTTTGAGCGGGGGCCGCGGGTCATAACTGGGACGTTTGACGTCCGGCGATCCCTTTCGGGCCGTAAGCTGGATAAAGTGTATATACGGTCGTGAGCACGTAAATAGGGTGAAACTTGTACGCCAGGACAATCGAAGCAAGATGGTGAATAGAGGCCCATTGACGTTTAAACACAAGAGCACCTGCTGCTTGTCCTCGGCCAGCCACTCTGCATGCTTTTGTTACATTCTAGACACGCATCCTTGCCCATCCGGAGGATACTTAAGGTCCTCTCGAGCCTCGTTGGCGTAATAAATTTATTCATGTTGATTTTTACTTGTTTCTAAGCACTTTACTCCGCTTAAACCCTGTTTATTTTTGTTATTGTTGTGGTGATAATCAAATTAATGATTCATGCTGTTTAGTGTGATGGTAGTGGTGTGGTTATGTAGACAAAGGACAATGTGTGTACTAGCAATCTATTATGACAACCCGAAGGACAAACTGGCTTTTCTAATCGCGATACAATGCCGTGCGCAAACACGATCCTCGCCGCTAACAATGTGCTCGTCCTGCGACAAACATTGGACAAACAAGCCGCGCGGTCTGCCCGAGCAAACATGTAAGCGCTCATCAACTGCGCACCAGAATATTACCGAACGCTTCCTGGCTTTCCGGCAGGAGGCTTTATTTTGACACTTCAATCGGTCTCATCAATATTGACTTCTAATTTCGTACACAAATAACATCCAAGTTTATTTGCACAATTATTATATTTTCCAAGGAGCGGTAAACCATTTCCTCAATAAATTTCGCGTTGAAATAAATCCACTTATAGTTGTATACCAAGTTGGCAATACGTTTAGCAACCAGCAAAACAAACTTAAATACTTTGCCTCCACTTAAATCCGTCGCCGTAACGAGAATCTCGCGCGCTCGTTCTTTTGTCCTTTGCGCGCATTTTTCTACCATTTGTGCCTGTGCCGGGTGGGTGTGTTTGTGTGGAAGCAATAAAAAGTCAATTTTGTCGCTTCGGAAAACTCGCAGCAACTCAGATTTTGAAGCTGGGCGCCTGAAGAACACTTGGAGCACTCGTTGCGACTCTCGGCGAAAGTCTAAAAGTGCGTAGCGCGGCTAAATCGATTCTGATTGGGACCTCAAGTTGGCGGGCGATCTTTACAATCCTTCCGCAAAGCGCACCGTGCGGCAAAAGAAGAAAAAGGAAAAAAAAAAGCAAGCAGTTAAAGTGACTGAAAGGTGAAAAAAAACTTGAAAAAAATTAAAAAGACCAACAAAAAGAAATAAAATTTTATTTTTTAGTTAAAAATAGTATATTAAGTACCAAGTGGCTAAACGGACTTTAGTCACATGAATATTACCACGTTTAGGTTTTTGTTTTAGGTTTTGACGTAAGCTCTACCCCGTGACTAAAATCCGTTACTAATTTATTTTAGTCCCGACCAAGATTATGTGTGCTTTAAATATCATATGGTGTCTTTAAAACCCGTGGAAAAACTGGCACTATAAAGGTGTAAAAAGAAAAATTATGTTTTTCCGTTCTTGAGCGGTAATTTAAGTTTTTGTTTGTTTTGAAAATAATTTTTGTTTTTGTATTTCACAACGTAATGCATTACATCTAAGTTACAAATTCACATCCCCTATATTATTTCCTATCCAAGAGGGTTGGTTTTGAACGTTGCGTGTTTCATACTACGTCGTTGTCGTTTACATTTCATTTACATTTACGTGTTTGTCATCGCTCCGCATGTATGCGTATAAATATATAACCATGCAGAGTGTTCAAAGCTTTTGAGCTTTCATACGTTCAATGCGTTCGCGTTCACCTATATCGAAACATAATGAACTTGTAGTACTTGCGTCAAGTACAGCAAACCACACGAGATACGCTCGCAGCCGCTGTATATATTGCTTAAGGAATGTTTGTCTTCTAAGGGGCTGAAGGAGAAATGGAAAGCGATTGCAATTAGAATTAATAAGATATGACCGCCCGCTTTTCGGCTTTTCACTCTAATGGGATTTCTGGGGTGGAGGCGCCGGGCTAATAGGCGATATTTGTATTCGCATCGCTTCGACTGTGGAATTTTACTTCGAAACGTGCCTCGATGCCATTCGGTTTAATATTTTAGTGCCTGTTGCAACTTGCACAAGCCACCAGCAAGTTGTTTTGCGTTCCGGTGGCTTTCCTATCATCCCCTCCGCCGCCTCCACGCCGATTCATCTTAATTGCATCGAATTATTGCGTTTACGACTCGAGCGCTCACTGTAATTCCAGCAATTATTCAATATTACCGAGCACGTTTGCGCATTGAAAACTTTCACATTCGTGTACGACGCTAGCGCGCATTTGTGAACAAAACCAGTCGAAATTATGTAAATTAATATTCCATTCTTGCATTAATAGTTGTCGTTTGTATGCGTGTTGGCGAAATTACTAGCAAAGGTGTTGTTGCGTTTTGGAAACGGTTTGAAATCGCTAGCATTAGCATCGGTTTCGGGCGCGTTCGGATCCATTTATCATGCTCTAAACTCGCCTCTCGCTTGCAGGCAACGTCCTGCTTCATGACTACACTTAGGAAATTCAAATTATGCGAAAGGTGGAGCTCGGCGCGTTTGGGAGTCGGCTGAAAACGACGATTCCTCGCGCCCCGAATGAGAGTGCTTCTTACTAAAGGACTTTAAGCTACGTTCCAAGGATTTGAATAGTAGTGGGGCGGTTTTCACATTCCACAAGCGTACCAATTTGCTTACAATTTACCGATTCAATCTTTAACTTTCAATCAACTGATTTGACTTGATTTCGTTAAATATTATTTTTTGTAATTTTTTGTTTTTAGATGTTGGATGTGGGTTCTTATCGTGATTTGTCCTCCAGCGAAGGGCAGAAGGCAGGCCTCGTCCGTCTCGCGGCTATATATCACGATGGCTGTAAATATTTAATGCTCCACACAGGCCTGCAACCCTAGCGCGGCCGCAGAAAAACCCTACAGCCGGATCCGACGATAAGGGATTGAAAAGCGTTTTGTTCTCCGCCGTCCTGTTTTATCTCGGCAAACAAATCGCCCAAAGACTCGACTCTCTACAAACACAATTCTTGTTTTTTGTTTTGTTATAGGTTATGTGGGTGCTGTGTTTCAACTATTTGTCTACCGGACAAAAACCATTCTAATGCTACTAATTTATATGTATATTGCGTTGCATGCGAAATTGAAATTATTATTTTTTATTTTTTGGGGAATTTTAAGCCGAAAAAACGCTGCCGCTGTGTAAATACGAGTTATTTGTTGGTCGGTCTGAATGGCGGTATTTTTTCCTGACGCTTACAGGAAATATCTACATTATTCATGCGCGTTTTATCCTCGTTACCTAAATATTTATAAAAGCAACGTCGTCCCAAAAAACGCCACACTGCGCGAATCGAAATTCAATCCAATCTTTCGAAGGCGTTTTGCAAAGATAATAAATTTTTAAATTCTCGTCCACTCACACTCCACTGTCAACGCCGAGGATTTCCTTTTTAGCGCAGCGCAAGCACAAATCGAATTTTCTGATTATTTATTTCTGCAGGATGTCATTGGCATTGTCATTTAGTAATATACGCGAGTTGCAAGCTGAGTCACAAACGACTACCATGATGTAAAAAAATAAAGAAAATTTCCTCCTCAGGATAAACAGAAGAAGAAAAAAACGTGTCGAACGCAGACGGAATACGCCATTGTTGGTTATTTCCTGCCCGCGCAACTTGCGTATTTGTTCTTTCATAAATCAAACAAAACGAAGGAAAAAAGCGTCGAAACGCAAGCAAAAAAAACTGAACACGCTGCGGAGGTCTTTCCACCCTCTGCTCGTCATTTTCCGCATTTTATATATGTGGGAAACGCGACAGCCGTGGCCGACATTAAAACTTTAACTTTCTTACATGTGACAAATTATCTTGTGCGGGGTAGCAGCGAAAAGGGAGCCGAGAACACCAAGGCCGCAGGGCTTAAAAAACTGCCTTCCAACCTCACCCCTAACTCATGCTTCTCATGTTTTAAGATTGCATCTTTCTAGGAAATACTTCTAGAAGACAAAAGAAAAAATGGAAACTTCTTATCATCGTATGACATTATTCATCATTTTTCTACAACGTCATAAGAACAAAATTATATTTACATACATATTTCTATGTTCGCTTTGTATACCGCAAGTCAAATTGCGTATTCCACTATAATATCACAACATATATTGTAGTTGTAGTTGAATATTTTATGCATTCATATTCAGCAAGTGCAATTTTGAGCAAATCCTGCAATTGAATGCAGCTCAAAACCTCAATGAAACCGCCGCCGACCAAAAGTGGAATCGCAGAAACGAGGAATTTCCACCAAACCACTCGTTACATTCGTAGTTTGCAGTCGCTATCCGGTGGTAAAAAGAGCCGAAAACTTTTGCTCATTTTATTAGGGCGAATCCCAGAATCCCACAAGAGCGCCCAGCCCCAACAGCAGAAAGTTTTCCAATAAAATTCTTCGCGTCGTATCGAGAGAGCAGCACCGCACGCACACGTGCCGCTCCCCCGCCGCCTCGCAAAACTATTCTCGCCGAAAAGTAAAGCGGCGGCTAGTTTTCGATTTACAAGTTAAATTCGTTTACAAAATTTGTAAAATTTTATTACGACATAAACGCAAAATCTTTACCTGTCTTAAAATCAACTCTCCACACAGCTACACACCACAAACCAATGCACAAATCACTATTTATTTATGCACTTTATTTTCTATTTATTATTAATAATAATCCACAAAATGTCACTCTCAGTCAATGTTTTTAAAATAATTTTTTACATATTTTAACATATTTATATAGTTTATTCACTTTAATGTGTGAAAATTTGTATTTGGACACGAACTAATTTTTGAGGTTGTACAGCGTAAGTTTTTGGCACACGCACTGAGTTTGCGTTGCGCTCGTGATATTCGTGATCGTATGCCGGAGGCAGGCGCAGCGGGCGACTGCTATCTCGGGGCCGGATCCGCCGCGATGTGCTGCTCTTCGGCGGCGGCGTTCCAGTTCGACGGCGGAGGCGGTGGCGGCGGCGCTTGCGCGACCTACGCCTAGAACGCGCACACCGCCACACGCTACAGCGCATATATGCGTGTGTCCCATCCTGCCGCAAGCCGGAAGTTAGTATCCAAGGACAAATCAAAAATGTTTATCTTAAAAAAAACTATGCAACCAAATGTACAAAACATTTACATGTAACGTAAATAGTGTTGCATATATTTTATTTTTGTATAAAATGCAGATTAAATTTTCAACTCATCCCTCTCCGATAAGGGTTGTTGGCTTTAACGCGTGATAATTAACACACGTTTGTATCATAGACACTCGAATTATGAATTTATCCGCAAAACTCACGCTCAACACCTTTCCCACCGCAAATACACCCTTGTCTACCTCTACCTGCACTCACATCTTCATCCCTTAACTCACATCCGCGTTTCTATCCACGTCCTTATCCATATCCTTATCCTCACCGCTGCTTCTGTCCGACCAGACACACAAGCTGTGTGTTTCGATGTACTCGAGTTTTAACATCATCCCTTTCCGACTTTCAGGTGTTGCTATCAAGGGTAAACATGCCGCATGGGTGTATGGGGGTGTTATTGGCACGGGATATCAGCAACGCCGCGCGTTCAAGCTTTCAAGCACGTATCTTATTAGCAAATATTTGGCTTTCGGACGAGGGGCCGGTTTTAAATAATCAAACGCCAGGATGGCGGCGTTGGTGGCGGCGTCAAACCCTCATAATTCCGGATGCTATCGAGCGAAACGCGTCGTTTTTCCGACAAATATTTACTCGACTGATAACGCTGCACTGCTGCCAAGTGCTTTGATAAAAAATAAACTCAGCTCAACTAATGAAAGTGTTCATTATAAATAATTACTTACTTTGTGATTTTAAAGGTATGCAAGCAAATATACATATAAAATGTGTTGTGGGTTGTCTATACTGGTTTGTATACACAATAAGTTTCAGACGCGTACGTTTCGTATGCTAGCTTTATTAATTTCCAAATATGGAGCTTTTGGAATAAAACCGGCGCGCACGAGCGCACACCCTCTCACCCTCAGTATGTATGAAAGGCAAAACCGGGGTGCGAACACGTGTTACGCGCATTACATGAACGTACGCGACGTACGTGTTCGTGCAGTGAACTTTTTCGCCTTCATTCTACATAGCGCACATTCAGAAAGAGAGCCCGGTCGACTTTCGACGCGTTTTCTAGCCGCGCGCACATCGGCAGCGGCACATGAAAGCGAATATTATATTTACGAAGAGTAAACTTTGTACTAACAAGTAGCAAGTAACAAGTATGTGTGTGTACAAACAACAAAAAGGTGAATGTTGAGTTTGAGTTGGAGTTCACTGCAGACAGGTGGATGTGAATGGTATATTCGAACACTGCGCGCTGAAAACTGAAAAGGATCGAGACTGCGAATTTTCGCACACGGCACGCATTAGATTTAATAGCATCAAAACAAAAGCGGGTCGTGCGTGTAAATCACGAGGCATAATTCTTTTGTCAGCAGGTTTTTCAATACAAAGTTAAATCTTTGTTTTATTCCACAAAAAAAAAGTATTATTATCATTTCATTTTGATAAAAAATTAGAAAAACAACAAAATATTATTTTTATTTTAACTGGAATCAAAGAAAATTAGTTTTGTTATAAAATTTCTACAAAACATATTGTTTGGCTTTATGTAATAAAATAAATTCATAAAACTCGTTTCCAGAAGCACAATTCCTGCTCACGTTTCTGCGAATGTTATTGCTGTGTGCTTTAATTAACACTTTTAATTAACGTCGACTATTTCAAGGTTGTATACACCTACATTCTGCAAAATAACAATAAAAATATTACGCTTTATTAATATTAATAATATTTTCTTTTGAAAAAATATCTTTAAAGAATAATATTATAAAATATTATCCCGTAGGGTGGCAAATATCTAAGGGGTGCGTGTTGTTATGTGTGGGTGTAATGATAATAAGCGATTCGGCTGACGCTGCGCGCCTGTTTATGACACATGTTTCTGACATGTCTATTGGCATGTCTCTATGCGCGTGAGATGGCGAAGGCGCCGGGGGTGCGACGCGCTACCCGATCAATCAATCTTCGCCCGGAAAGCTACCGCTTGCAATATTTGCTGTGCGACATGTCATGCCGTGCATCGTAAACACACGACGGATTGTGTGTGACAAACATGTTTTGCTATTTTCTTTAAGAATGTTTACAACAATTACGGCTCCATTACTTCATGGGTCAGAAGTTAATAAATTTTTATTTAGGTTGCCTGGGTATAATTATAGTATAATTTTGTGTAAATTGACACTCGTTTTAAAGTTCACTTTCTCGTAATAAAGTCGCGCTGAGGTGAAAATTTGGCAGAGAGGGATGAAAAAAAAACAAAAAAAAGTCGAAAATCGTCGAGAAACACGAGAAAATGATTAAACGCGATGGCTTTTTAAAAACCTTGAGAGGCAGATAAGATATGGCCGGCTAGGGTGGCAACTTTGAAAGCTTGAGAATTTTTTTCTTACTTCGTTTTTAGGGGGTGCGTTGAGGCGTCGAAAATGGCGGCAGGGTGAGACAAAACGAGTGAAAAGCGCAGCGTATTTGCGTGCTAATGATATTAAGATGCTAACTGCCTTCTCGGAAGGGAAACGTGCTGAACGGTAACAGGAAGCGGGCGCGCTGAAAAAAAAAACGCAAAGTTGCAAAGTCGATCAACAAGCCTAAGAACAGAAAGCAGAAGCAGAAAAAATGAAATGAAGAGTAGAAGTCAAAAACGAGCCGACAAGCAAATTAGTACCGTCAAGTAAAATTCTGTGCTGAGTTGATTACATGATTAAAATGTTTAATTCTCAGTACATTAATATATACACTCTTCATTCATGAAAGTAACAAATAAACTTGATAAAATTAAATTAATTAAATTTAAATTTTAAATCGTGAGAAATATTTACGATTTGTAATTCACCTGATTGTCGTAGTGATCCTGAGCGAGCAACCGAAATAAAACCAAACCTGCACACCCGACAAGGGGATGTAAACGTCCGATTGTTTTGGGTCCATCTCGTTGTGCGCGTCCGAATGTTGTCCGTGGGTTTTTCGCGCAGTTACATAACACGAATTTAATTAACCTCGGCTTAAACCTACAACTCCAACCTTTTGCGCCAAGCACAAGCATACAGGATGTTTAAAAACTAATATAACCTCAATTAAAGCGTCGAAATTTATTTGCCAGCGCAGAATGTAAGTTGTATTAGTTTTTTTTCAGCTGCAATTGCTTTAAAGAACCCGCACGGGACGCGCACGAACGAGAAAACAACCAAATGAAATAATAGAATAACAAAATGGCGCTGGAAAACGGCAAAAATGTCGTCGGGGCGCTTGTAAAACGATTCGCGTCGACGTCGTCGCTGGCGAGCAAAACTTTTGCCGCATATCGCATAAAATAGGTGACGTTTTGCATAAAAGTGTACACGTGTACGTTTTACAACGTGTAGCCTAGGATCCGAGCAGCGATGGAACAATGCGAGTACTCGGGGGGCGGCTCACGTAGATTAATTTTATTTACTCAGTTGCAACACCGCACACAACAACAACACAAAATGTACCATTCAGTCAAATATGTTAAACACATTTTCACATTAACCACAGTAATTTTTTTTTTCGACAAAAAAAATCAAAAATTAATTTTAACATTAAAAAGATTATGTGGAGGCGCCGGGAAAATTTATATTTTTATATTTTTTTCTGAAATCAACTATTTTTTAATTATTTAGATGTTTTGGCATTTTATTTTCCGTTTGACATTTTATAGCTGTTTTTATTACGATGTCTGTATGTATCCACGTTACTTTTTACTAGTCTACTGCTTAGGTTTACGTTGACGCTTCGTGATTTAATTTCCATGCATGCACAATAAAAATGTAAAAGTTGTGACTTGCCCGACATCTCTGACAACCCCTACAACCACCCCTACAGTACGCTAGCACCCCGTCGTGTAGCGACATGTTGCGTCCAAAGCTTGTTCGTACGTTTGCTTACTTCATTCGGTGTCATCCCGGAGTTGTTGCGATTTGAATCCCTTGCTCCGAGTCTCATTTCCGAGCCTGCGACATTATTTGTTTTCGTTTGCAATGTTCGCTCGTTTTATTTATTTTCTATTTTATTTTTAACTAAAGTTCTTTGTACAATTCAGCAAATATCAACAATATGTGGAGGCGCCGCGTAAATTTACCAAAAATATTTACTGATATTTTATGGATGTCCTTGTGGTAAGTTGGAATTAATCAGTGATTTACAATAGTTATCCATGTGATTTTCGTCCTGATTCCAAGTGATTCAATGCGAATCTTTCCGAATGGTTTTTCGCTTTTTATAGTTCTCGACGCTAGGCCGCAGGAAACGAATCTGGAAACGAATGAATAATAAATTTCACGTTACGGGCTTTTTTGGCTCTCGAATCACCCGCACTAAACAACGAACGCTGATACTCGCGTGTACGCAAATTTACTGATACTTTCTTCAGCGGAATACTAACCTAACCTATTTCTATGCAGTCTGTAATACTTTTTATGTCCTCGGTGGCTTTAAATAGGTTTCGACGCGAGTTGAATGTGCGCGAAGTTTTTCAGCGAGGTGTCTTCACTTATTGAGTAAACTCGCGAGACGCCAGCTCACAAAAAGAAATAACACCTCGGTGCGACGTCTCCGAGAATGTGGTGAAGAGTATACGCGGAGAAAAGAGTTTTGTTATTTCGAAAGTTTGCGATGCGGGCGTGATTTTATTCGATTTTATTCGACTACCGCAAGAAATTCGGGTGTAACCCAAAGCGCAACGAAAAACATCATTCGAGATAAATGTATAGGAATATATGTAGATCTAAATATAAAAAAAGGAAACTGAAATTTGAAGTATTTCTGCAATATGTGCCGAGGAAAATATATTTTCGTGCTTTTCTGGATGAAATTCATAAATAAATTTCTACCTGAGTGTGATAATCATTAATATTTTATGATAATAACGTGCAAATGTTTGTATTCAAATGTTTATTAAGTTTGTTCACAGCGAGCGCACGCAGCAACGAATTAATTAGCACATAAATTATCACATGCAATCGTGAAGCGCGCCGGAATTAATTTCAACGATACGAGCTTTATTCTGATGCATTGTGCAATGACACATGCACCCCATTCAAATTTTAATCATCAACACCCATTTTTGTTTTTATTTTATTAAAAAACGAATCAAATGGCATTCCACTCTCAATGCGGAAATCAATGGAAGAATTTATTACTCTACACTGGAGCTTTCAAGAGTCGAGTTTGTTTGTATCGGCGTTTTATTGCGTTGAATTTCACATTTTTCAAACTTTCTACAGCGTCGATTTGCTACCGCTTGTAATATCGTCCGTTACGCTGGAAAAAACCGCTCCGATCAGGATCGTATTGCTAAGTTTAAACGTGTACGTGTTGTGCGTGTGTGCAATTAACGAACTGGTTACTAATTGCAGTAATAATAATTGCAGCCCGAGCGTTTTCATTACGTCTGTGCACCATTCGAACATCCGTTCATTTCCGGTTATGTATACAGCTTCCGGTATCAGTAAATCTATAATCCTTTTTTGCTTTGAAAGCTTTTAATCGATAAATGTGTAGAGGTTATTTTTATAGAAATTTTTGCTTTGTTTTCGATTTTTATTTGCCGTCAACCATAAATTTACTGCAGTTGCATAATTTTGCTAACAAGCGCGGTGCCACGGAGTCAATTACATGGCACACCGCAGCTTTGTATGCGTTCCACATCCTCTCCGCAGACTCGCGGTGAAGGCGCCGGGCAAGCCAGCATTCACCGCGTTTAAGCTCTATGTTAGCCCGGCGCCTTCACCATATTAACTATTATAGTAAACAATACTGCATTAACATTAAATTATAATATCAACTGGAAGCAATTTTGTTTATCTTTTAGTGAAAGTGAAGGTTATGTTTGAGCTGATGCGAACGTTTTCGCTGTTTTGACTCGAAAAGATCGATAGTTTGATCGCGTGCGAGTGCGGCTTTCACTCGCTAATGAATTTCTCGATAAATCACAATCAGCGATAACGCAACGCATTGGTAAAGTGTCGGCGTGTGTATAGGCATGTCGAAACGTCGTAACGTCAGCGTCTCGCGCCTAAATCGTAGCTGGCATTTTGCTGTGAAAGCTCCCCGGCTGTAATTGTGCGGCGAACGTTGCGTCGGCATTAATCACACTCGACTTACTTGCGATTGACGTGACGAAACATTAGCAAAACATAAAAAAAAGCAACAAAAATTTAAAATAAGAACACTACATGGAATTTAATGCAGGAGTAGAACCTTTTTTTTGCGTGTACATTTAGATCTGTATATTGAGGATTGATTACGTTCTGAGCAAACAAAGCGACATTCATAACTGATTCAACAAAAATAAATTTTTCCCCGAACGCACTGTTTTCCATCCATTTTGGTGCGTTTGCTGCGTTCGGGATCTAGATGGGTTTGTGTGTTTGCGTGAAACTAATCAATCATACGAGGCCCGCGCGGCCTCCACAATGAGCGCGATTTTTTGCCCGTTTTTGACGGCTCGAAACCCGCGACGCGCGGTTTATAACAGATTGCTTCGCAATTCGCGGGATTAAATATAAATAAATGAAATGCTCCAAAAAGCAATTCGATTTTTTTACTTAGAGCCTAATCCCGCAATGATTGCAATCAAATACATCATACAGTGTCCATGACATTGACCTCTAAATCAAATTTATTTTATGTTTGTTTTTTCGTTTCAATGACTTCATCATATATATCTATATCCGTAACGGTTTGAGCAGTTGTAGAAGATGGAATTGGTAAGATGGGGTCGTTTGGTTCGATGACTTCTTGCGGGGAGATTGTGTCGCCGGGTTTGACCAGAGCAAAGCCTGCGGCACCCATTCGCATGCAGTCGAAGTGCAGCACGAAGATAGGCGCATGTTGCACGCGGGTTTCGAAATCCAAGCACATCTGCAGGTTCTGTCCGAGCGTGTGGAGATCAAACAGACGCGCGCAGAATTCCACCGATGGTAGATACGGTACTCCAAAAGGCAAACAAAAAGGTGGTGGATTTTTTGCTGTTTAATAAAAAATATTTATGTTTTAATATAAAAATATTAATTTTAGATTTTTAAGTTTTAAATTATTTTTAGTCCTTTCTTTTGGCCGGAAATAGAATAATTCTATTACAAATTTGCTTTGGTCCCCACCATCGCTATTTACACCCCCTATATCTATAGATAATTCATTATGAGGAAACCGATCCGAGAGAGATCTCCAAGGAGGACGAATTAGTTCGCTGAATAACAAGCCCGGGCACTTAATGTCTCAATCGAATTTCTCCTCTAGTTCCAGCCTCCCCTCAACCTATCCTCTCGCAACGCACGCGACAGGACAATGGCAACGCTCGGCCCGTCTCAGTTTCCGAGGTTTGTTTGCGGGCCGGGCTTTTGTCGACTTAGTTAGTATAATTTATAACGCACTTACTAATCTTATTTTCAGTTAAACTCGAAACTCTAGCAAACTCACAAAATGTTGCAAGTGTTACCCCTACAACCCTTGTAACATAAGCGAGCATTACAAATGTTAGCAAGTTAGTTTCCAACTAGCAAAACAAACTGATGTGTTCAAACATGTATATTAAAACAATAACAAAACTATCGGTAACAAAAATATCGAATATTTGTTTGGAATACCAGCAGATTTTATTGATTTGCTGATTCTGAAAACATTATTTTATGCAAGCGCATGTGCGGTCGTAAAGTTGTATGTTGGGTTATTGAGTGAAAACTATGCGAAAACTTGACGAGTTTATACGAACCTGATACGGCGTTGGTGTACACCGGATTGTTGTTCATAAACATGTTCATTATCAGCGAGAACTCGTTTGGATCGTACGTAAAGTTCATACAACCTGCGAACAGCAAACAAAATACTCACACAAGTTGACACGAGTAAACAATATACAATGCACAACGCATTCGACGCTTTGATATCACTCAAAGTGGAAAATTTTCAATTTTAACCGCTGCGCGAGTTTATCGAACGCAAGCGCTTTTATCGATACGAAAACCCTATGAGCAGACCAACAATAGAATAATGAAATGAAAATGAACTCTTTATCGGCTAGATTACTTTATAACACATACAGGATAATTTGTAAAATGTTAGAGTTTAGTAATTTATTGTGAAATTTTTTGCGTTACTGGATTATCCTGTATGTAGTGTGAAAATCGTAAATATTGTGTTTTGGTTACCCTCGCGGTTAAAGTTGAACTGTTGAATGTTGATGCCGGTGCAGCATCCGCACGTCAACGCCTGACAGGAGCATCCGTTGCTCCGGTTGCGAAAATCCAAGCGTCGACGCCCGGCACCTCCACCATCGCCTTTGACTGTCGCGTTTGGTTCCGGTTGAGCATCCAGCGGCCGCCCGTCGTTCAGATCGTAATAAACATTTAAATTGTTTGTTTCCGGTTGTAAATCCACATGCGATACAGTTGCTATATTATCAGCTATAAAAAAATACATAGATTAATTGATTCCTTGTTTTTATTGGTATCGATTTTATTGATTAGAAGAAAAAAAATGTAAAAAGTTTTTGTTTTGTGTTTCAAAGCGCACAAAGTGACAAAATAATGGATGCGCAGGGTTGATTCGGCGTAAGACAAGACGATTTGTCTTCGTAACGGCGGCAAACCTCGATGGTGAACGAACGCTTAGAATTCTGCTTCATTTCGGGAATGTTTTACGCCGCCGACCGCTTCGTTTACATTCCTCACTTTTCTCTGCGTTTTCTTTGGTTTTGCTTTGTTTGCGTTTGTCTCACAAAGCTCGCAGCTTTACTAAAAGCTTTATAGTACTAAACTATACATATTCCCTACTAATTTTACAGAAAAAAACTTTTATTATATGATATTATTTGCTGCACAATTTTATTATGCACACGAATTATTTGTTTCCGTTGATATTATGCAGGTGCTTGACAATGGCGCATGCGATAAGAATATAGTGACGTGCATTTCAGAGGAAAATCAGGTTTTCGTTGAAATGCAGCGAGCGCACCCGGGCATTCTCGTATCTCCGACGCATCCTTTGCGGATGTGACAATAAATGCATTCGCTATAACTCCCTAACTTCGAGGACGTGTCACCGCCGCCATCGATGATGCGACGCCACAAAATCGAGCTTTATGTGCATCACTCACGCATTAAATTTTATTGACGTTATTTTATATCCATATTTTGCGATGAAATCAGACGTATAACAACTTTTGACATATATTAGACACAATTCCTTTTATTTTCAAGATACGGCACCCACGTAAATATTAATTTTTGTTTGTCGTAAATATCAAAGATATTTTTATTTCTCTTTGGCACTTTCGTATATGATGAGTGACATAATCAGATATTTGTTTGCTCGTTCGAGAGACAAACGAGACACAAACGCGCTGAAAATATAACGTATAATAATGACCGGTTGTCATCGTTAGGTTTAGCCGGCAGTTATAACTGCTGGACACTTTCGTCCTTTAATAAATAAACTTGGAGCATGTTTTTTTCTTCTGCAAGTTTTCGCTACTAACTTCTTTGCTTTCGCGTTCTGTGTTTTACACGTACACTTAAGATTCTCATAACAACCAGCAAAAAAAAGTTGTAAAAAAACAAGTGAGTGTTTATGTGCGAGTGTGAACGAAAACATATGAAAAAGTTAGTTTCAAAAACGTGCGCGCAAAGAAGAACCAAGAAGGACTACGAATTACCACTGAGCGCAATATGGATGGCATCGATTTGCGGATTTGTTTTGTTTTGTTTGGTTGCGTTTGGTTTCGTTATTTTATTTATAAGTTTCCTTTTTTTCTGCTTTGCGGTTCGGACGTGGACCGGTTTGCTAGGTTTTTCCTGCGCTTTGATGAATCGCATTTCCTTTGCGAGTGTTTTTCTTGCTTAATTAAACAACAATATGTTGCGGCCGCCAGCGTGCTGGAGAAAAAGCAAATAACCGGCAATGAAAGTGCGATTACAGCAAAACACAATTCTATAAGAACCACTAATGCTCAATTGCACAAATTGCACAAGTGTACAAAAACGATTTAATTTTATTTTGTTTTTATTCTTTTATATACAGAAAACTGTAATGTTACGCAAACTCTGTTATAAAACTTAACTGAAAACTAATTTAAAAAATAAGATGTACTTTAAAAGATATTAAAAGTTTTATTAACCAAAGCTCCACCTACTTACGCATGCGTGTTACTTATAGTAGGCGGAGCTCCCATTATTTAATTACTAATATCTCGCAAACGGCTTATCCAATTTTCAATGTTTTTGCTTTAAGCTACTAATTATATATTCTGGGTTTAAATTTAGCATCAATATTTCATTCAGCATCAATTTAATAATAAATTATTGGCAAGCATAAATTATGCACCATAAGTAATTATTTCTCATTAAAAATACAGCCAGTCAATTAGTATAAATGTACATTTTCACCACTTTTTAGCTGCATTAGGCAAAAGTTTCATGCATTATTTATCGCTTGGTTAATTGATGGCGATTAATTACGATTTGTAGAAACAGTGCGTGGCGTGAGTGTGTGTTGTGTACTCACCCAGCGCCACCACGACCAGCTGCATGCAAACACTCGATAAAATATGTAAACCCCTCATTTGTTTGCGACAAAGCCACCGCTGCCGCAAACCGACTTCGCGATTAATGTAGCGCCCTTTTGCGGCGCGACGCATTCGCTGATTGATCGCGCGCAACGCGAACGGAAGATCAAACGCGCACGCAAAACCGACACCGACGCGCGATGAGAGAATTAATAGCCGATCGAGACCGGCGACAAAGAGAAATTAACGGATGAGAAAACTTTAAGCGGTGAACTCTTTTTATTATACAAGTTGAGTTGCGTTAGTCGCACTTCGAGCACGGAAAGCAACTGACCGAGAAATTCAGGTGACATCGGACAACGAACCAACAAAGCCGGTTTGTGTCAACTTGGTAACGTTTTTTTTTCTTCTTCTTTTATACACTGCAGGTCAAGTAAATTTGCATATGCAAACTATACTGAATTTAAATTAAAAACGTACATTTTAAGTGTTTTTAGTGTAAATTTAATAAATTAAACATCGTTTTTATCAAAGGAAATTTTAACGAAACCATTCGGAAGTTTTTCGACTGTGTACTTGTCGCTTTTTAGTGGTTCGCTTCGTACATTCTCGTCGTAGTCTTCGATGTCATCGTCGTCGTCATCACCGCCCCCGACTGGCAGTCCTCCGCCTTCTTCTGGCCCTATTACTGCAACGCCGCTCGCGCCGAGACGAACGCAGTCGAAGGACCATTCAACAAGAGAAAATTCCGCCCAACTTGCCTCTGCATCGATGCACATGTGAATATTACGTTTGGCGAAATAAATATTAGAAAATTCCACGCAGAATTCAATGAAACGGAATCTCGGTACTCGAATACACATCGGATCCGGATTTTTACCTGCGAAAATATCCAATAAACGCTATTTTAAAGTTGTATGCAACTCAATTTACAAACAAAATTCTATGCTTTGTGAAATAAGTTGCCAATAATATTTAAACATATACTTTACTAACCGGAAATTGTGTTCTTATACAGGACACGTTCATTCATCGACATGGAGGCGGTGACGGCGGTTTCATCGGCATCGTAGGTAAGATTCATGCATGCCTTCTGTTTGAAGCGTTCGAGAATCATGCCGGAGCAACAACCGCAATGACCGTTAGCGCATTGGCACGGCAGGCGTATGCCTTGCAATAGGGGGCGGCGAGTGGTGGTCGGAATAACGGCCGCAACCGGAGTTGAAGGAACAACGGCCGCAATGGGCGCTTGAATGGCCGGGACGTTTCCGTCCCCTAAGGTCACTTCAGACGCCGGTGCGCCCACAGCCGCCACCGCTACGTTGCCGATTGCGGTGCCGTTTTTATTCGCCAGGATTATTGCTGGTTTCGGGGCCAGGGACACGCCGGGGGCGACAATTGTCGAGTTTATCTTAACCAGAGCTGCAAACAGTAAGAGAAACGAGAATAAATTTGTTATGTTGAAGAACTTTGTCTTTTTTCTTTTTTTCTTTAAAAATAAGTCAAGAAAAGTTATTTTTGTGTGTTCCCATTTGATGTTTACACGTGTCTGGTGTCACATTGTAAAATTTACATTTATATCACCCGCCCCCAAGAAAAAAAGATAAAAGCTTTTCCGTCTTTTTGAAAAACACAACAACAAAAAAGACCGTTTAACATTTTAACTCCTCTTAAAATGTCACTTTTCGGCAAGCCCGGATGTCATTTGTGTCGGTATAATGCTCACCGTTTGTCGCCTTTGACTCCTCCGATGTCGCCGCCGTCAGAAGCAAGACGCAGATCGCGAAATTGGAGAACAGATGCATCGCCGGTTCGCGTTTCGCTACTTTTGCATTTAAATAAGGCTTTGTCTGTACTGTTTCGCCCAATGCTGGGGGCGGCTGTCACCCACCTCCTCCCTTCAGCCACTTATTGTTTATTAGCTTGCGCGTCGAAGCAGCAAGCGCGTTCCAACAAGTTATTCGATGAATTTAATCAACACTATTACGATACAAAGGCGGCAGCGAGAATGGCGATGCTCTCGGCGGCGCTAATGAACGCTGAATGCGCGTCTCGTGCACTCAAAGACGAAGAAGCTGCTCAAGTGAAGCGGAGATGTACATCCAAGGTGACATCTTTAATTTACTGTGCTCGATTTCAACTCTATTAGTGTTTGTATGTAGAAACAACTATCTTTGCCCACTTTCTAAATTCCTCCACTTTTCTAATAGTGAATAAAGTTTAGTATTTCACAATATTTACCATTTTACACTTCGGCAATTAGTCAGAAGTAAAATATTTAATTTATGCTTTGTTATGTTTATTTTATTACAAATTAATATTGAATGTTGGTTACCGCTTTGAGCTTTTTTTTTCGTAATTTGCATCCGAAACTCATTAATGTAAATTATTTACATGGAAAACAAACAAACCATTCAAATATTAAACAGTAGATTTATATTTATATACATGGCTCGCTTTCAATTTTCACTCCGCATGCGTTTTCGCATGCAAAAAAGGAAGGAAAGTACAATATAAATATCGCTTTATAAATAAATCGGAAATAAATAAATATAAATATAAATAAATAGCGTAATTAACTCTAAACTCTATAAACAATACAAAAATAAACCATTGATAAATGCATTTTTGCATAATGCATTTCTGTGAATAATAATTTTTGCATTTTTCTTGGCATCTGATGTTGAGTTTTTGTGTTTTGTTTGTTTTTATTTTTCTAATTTATTTCTACCAATGTAATCGATCTAGCCACATATCTCGACTCTGCCGCCCTCTGCCAACTCTTTGGACAGTCGCGTGAATCTTTTTGTGTTGTTTGGCTTTTCTTCCAGCGAAATCATCGTCATCGTCGTCATCATCGTCGTCTTCATCGTGTTCAGCATTAGTTTCTTTTTCAGATTCTTCAACTTCTTCTTTTTCGTCATCGTCGTCGTCATCATCGTCATCTTCATCTTCAAGTTTTTCGTCATCTTTTTCATTTTCAGCTTCGTCTTCTTTTTCGTCATCTTCTTTATCATCATCGTCGTCATCGTCATCGTCATCATCATCTCCTAAGAAATCATCGTCGTCATCATCGTCATCATCATCATCCTTGTCGTCATTGGCTGGTTTTTTATCATCTTTATCTTCTTCACTATCACCACCTCCAAAAGTACTTACAACCCCATCAATAATATCAGTGAAGACATCTTTTGATTCTGGTTTTTCTTTGGCCTTTAACACAGTTTCCACTTTTGAAGAAGCAACTGGAATCATTTCTTGAGTCTGAGTAGTTGCGATGGTTTCTGTGGTGGGGGCATCAGTTGGACTAACAGTGGTTTCAGTTGTTACTTCAGCGGCATCATGAGCAACTTCATCTTCATCATTTTTGATGATATAGTTTTGTAACGTTACAGTATCTTCCTCATCATCATCTTCATCAGTAATTGATGGAGTAGTAAATTCACTGTCTTCATTCTCTGTAGTAATACCAAATGTCGTGCTTTCAGCAAGTTCTGGATTAGTTACCTCATTAGTGACTTCATTTTGAATTGTGGAGGTAGATTCAATTTTAACTGGTTGATAGTTGTACGTAACAAAATGAACTTTTTCTGTGCTAGGTGCTGGGGCAACCTTGGAAGCTTCTAAAGCTTCCTGGGAAGTAGATCCCTCACCTGGAATAGTTTGCAACATTGCGGCTACTGCGGCAATGGATTCATGAGGTGTTGCGATGACTTCATTTGAAGCAATGGTTTTCTGGGGTAAAGGTTGGTCTTCAATTAAGATTGGTTTCTTTTCTGAGGTTACAATGGTTGCTGAAGTAATCAGACCAACTGATTCTGTAGTTGTGCTTGTAGGAATAGTTTCAGGAATTGATGTTGTTGTAGTTGTAGTGGTTGTTGAAGGAGTTGGTGCCCTGGTTAATTTTTTGGTTACTTGTGGTTTCTTTGTAGTTGTGGAAGGAGCTGTGATAAGGATAGTCTTAGTTGCTTGTGTTGGTGCGCTCGTAGAAGAAACTGTCAATTTGGTTGCTTCTTCAATAATGTTGTTTTCAGATGAAGCTTCAACAACTGAAGCAGGTGCTTTTGTTGTAGAGCTCACACCAGAAGCATTTGGTGGGATAGTTCTTCGTCTTACAACAGTTGTTCTTCTTTTTGGAATCTGCTTCTCTGTAGTAGTCTGAATTGCTTGTGTTTGGGTTTGAACTTGAGGTGCCACTACTTTCTTTGTTACCAATGGAATAGTTGGTGTTGTGGAAGTAGCTGCTTGTACTACCGGCTTTCTTCTGACAATAGTCCTCCTTGTAGGTGTTCTTAAAGGAGCCCTTGTGGTACTAACGACTTTCCTCTTTTTGTTTCCACTGCTGCCACCTTCAGGAGCGAACAGGTATCAATAAAATCGTCATCAAACACACTAAAGGTACCATAGTCAACTGTGTTTTCCCCATCGTCATCTTCATCATCATCGTCATCATCATCATCGTCGACATCATCAATATCATCCACGTCATCAAAATCGAATTCGTCGTCATCATCATCGTCATCATCGTCCTCATCATCATCCTCCTCGTTACTAACCGATTGCGCAACTGGAGGAAGTGGTTGGGATTCAGCTAGTTTGAGACCTTTGGGACCAAATTTGAAGCAGGAGACTCGGAGAGCCGCTTCTACGTCTTTTACTGCACGAAGCTCAAGGCCCAGGCACGCGTTGAAGTCCTCACCTTGACGAGCGATGTTGTAAACTCGTCCGCAGAACTTTGACACGCCGCCAGGGAGCGGCATACAGACTGGTTTAGGTTTCCGGCCTTTAGAACAAAAACACAAAAAAGTTAATGTGAGGTTCCGCAACTTTCCAACTCTAGTAACTCACTGTCTATGGTGGTATTAGTCAAAATGCGATCGCCAAAACTCATAGAGATAGCGAGTTTATCACCACGAAGATATTGCAAGGAAGCGCATCCTGGTCCCTGGAGTGCAACCACAGGAATTTGGAATTCCCGACAGCAGTTGCATAGTTTGGTGTTGCACGAGCAATATTTGTTAGCGGCGGTTGTAGCTTCCTGGCGCACTTTTTGTGCGGCAAGTTTGGAATTGTGATGATGAGGTTTTCGTAACGTGGCTGCCCGACCTTGAATTTTACTTTCATCTAAACAAAACCATTAAATCATCATTATAGTCCACAGATGAGGTTATGTTGTGTAAACTCACCTATGACACGTGATGCCGCAAATGCAATCAATACGAAGATGAGCAAAAGCTCAAAGATAAAGGATAGCCGCATGGCGAAAAACGTTTAGGCTCCGATACTACCTGAAAATCAATTAAAAACCTGAATAAAGTCCTTGAAATAAATTGGATGTTTGACGATATGATTGAGATGAGTGCAAGCATGATATCCATTTATGATTTTGATTATGATTCGCGTGTGGGAGGCCGTTAAGTCGTTATGGACGTTATGGTCATCCATTTACCGGACGTAGATGGCGCGGTGTGGTGGAAAGCGTCGCGCACACAACTTCCGGCACTCTTCAACCGCTGATATATTTATTTGGTCGACGTCGCGCGCACCGCGCTGACTTTTTAATTGCCGAGTGCCGGAATGGCGCAATAAATCGGCAGGAAACGTCAGCGACAGTCACACCGGCGCATGCATGCCGCCCCATGTGAGCGGCCAATTTTCCACTCCACACACAACATGCCACCGCGAGACGATCATAAATTTGACAATGTTTTATTAGCCAGCCGCATTAATTTCACTTGGCATGCGCCAAATTAATTCCAATTTTGCAACAAATAAAAAAAAGTAAATACTATTAACGCATTTAACGTTAAGTAGACATAGGAATACTGTTAAAATTTTAACCGTTTGGAAGTATTTTGCTTTTTACGTGCGATTGAGATCGTTTCGCTTTGTGACTTCGACAACGCATAATTTTCATGCGTTTTCCGCGCTTATTGCTCACGTTTACGAGTTCATAAACTCGGCGTACGGTATTCGCGCTCAAGTTTAATTATTTCAATCATAATAGGAGCATGTGAACCACCACCGTAACATTACAATGAACCCAAAGAGACCAAGAAACAAGTACTCAAAATCACCTTCAACTTCAACTTAGTTGATTAATTTAAATAACTTTTAATTGCAATTAATTCCGTCAATGTTCATCAATAATATTTGTCTTCTTAAACAACTCGGCATAAATTTAATTTTGGTTTGTTGTATTTCGTTTGCTTAGCTTTAATTAAGTGCGAATTGGAAGCTGTTTACTTACCTACGTGTCTAATTGGTTTCTGCACGATGGAAAACTGCGTGCGCGTCCGAAAACCGCTAGCGACAAACTTAAAAGTAAAAAAAAAGTCGCGTCGCAAAGAAAGAAGACACACACCACGACCAGGGTATAGATAATCCGCACGACGGCTGGCGAGAAGCGTGTTACTGGTTAAGTCAACCGGTCCGCGCCCGAGTTGAGGAACTCTTCGGCGGGCCGGGGCTGCCCACTCTCTTCTTCCGAGGCGCGGGGCCGCCACGAATCTCGGTCACCGGCAGTTAGGTCATCGTCATCGCGCACAGGCCTTCCGGCCCGGCACTTTGGCCTTATAGAAAGCATTTCTTTTTCGTCACACGCACACACTCACCCGTGTATATGAGTAACATACACAACATTTCATAGAAACCATCATTTTAGTGATTATTTGGTGGCAGTTTCTCTTTTCGACACGTTAGGCGTTATTTTGGTCTCTTTAAAAGTCGATTTGAATTGATGACTGTGCTCGTCTTGAAAAAGTTTAAGCGGTTTCATTTTCGCACTTTCATCGCCTAATGAAATGATTTGAGCTTGCGGTCGTAGACGAGCTCGAAAAACGAAAAGTCTGATGAGTCTGATGATGACCTTGCAAGGACATATACACACCGGTATCTAAGTGTGTACGCGCAACATTCGTTGCTGATGTAATAATGTCTTCGTCGAGAAGATCCAAAACGATGATGTGTCTTTTAGTTCATTTCCGTTGCACTTGATGTGCTTCCGGGCTCGAAATAAGTTTGAAACATTTGAAACGTCGAAACATCGAAGTGGCATCGATGGCGTTGATGAAGTCGCACTCGGCGACTCTTTGTGCTGAATTTCAATGAACTTGACCAAATGTCGAGGAAATGTAATCTGGGTCGTGTGGCATCCGAGCCACCAACACATCAGAACGTCGTCGAGCGTGTGCGGTGGCCGCGTGCGCGTTTCAAATTTCAAATTTCTTCAAATTGGCGCACGCCGCGCGCAAATTGCAAATTTATGCGCTGCGCTTATATTTGGCGACGCGCATGCCTTGCATTCGAACGCCCGAAGCACTGCGAAACAATATCGGCGGGCATATTCACGAATTGCGAACTGTTTGCTTTGCATTATGCATAAAACTGTACTTTGTGTGTTTCCCCAGCCCCGTCTGACCTTCGCATACGCAATCCGGCGAGCGTCGTAATGAACCTGCGACTCTTTCGAGATGGGAATTGTGGCAGAATTCTATGCTAGCGATTCCTAGCATCCGGAAACAAACATTTAATTAAGCACACATTGGGTCGTGCGAAAATGCGTTGTTTGCAATTTGCTCGCAATGCATGTATAATTTTGCCAAAATTTCGCTCTCCACAACATTCATATCAACAAGTTTGCGGGCGATCTTATCCAGCAGTTTTGTTAGTACAACATGTAGGGTATAGTTTGGTTAACAAATATTTTGATTACGTACGAAATGCTACAAGTTTGTAAATCATAATTAAAAGTTAAATGAAAATATGCAATATACCCAGTATCAATTGCATCGACAGATTGCTTCATTATAGTTTATAATTAATGCGAAAAATGATAAAATCAGCGCTCCCGGTTTTGACGAGAAGTTGTGGCGATAACGACGACAATATTGTTGTTTATTCTGGTCGCATTTTCATTTGTAATTTTACTATCACGAATTGCACACAAATCTACCCAACGTGCAATTACATATTTATTAATCTGGCCTCCTTTCGAAATTTAATCAAAATGTTTTTACATTTTCAATTAAAATGCGCAATATTTTATTCCGTTTGACAATTTTTATTTATAAACGCCATAAAAATATATGAAATATTTTTAGATACGTGTTTTTGTTGTAATTTTAATACCATTCAGCTTTTGAATTCTGATTTGATCTCAAGTTGAAGTTGAATGTGTAATAGACGTCATTAAGAGCAAAATTTTCGACGTCTGCAAAGCGTTTTCCGCTTCCGGTGTTCTCGCTCAACGCCATTCACGCTGCGCGCTTGGATAGCACCCGATCGCGCCGGAATCACGAACTTTGGCAACAAATTTTCATGATAATGGGATACAACTAGACGTTAATGCCTGATGAAATCAATCAAACGCGACTCTCTCTCCGAACCGAGAGTTTCTTGTTGAAGAACAGCCACCCTCGTTTCTTGTACCCGGCTTCCTATTCTCGGGTTACACGCATGAGTATCCGGCGTTGCGAGCGTTTCGGACTTCTTCAGCATGTCGTTCGTGTCGTTCGTGTTCTTTTGTGGTCGCAACGAATTTCACTCTCCGCGCATCATCCACGAGACGCATCGCGAGTTTTACAAATTGTTATTTCGCTCGTTTTTCGCTCCGCGTTCGAATGAATATTTCACTCGGCGGGCTGTGCGGGCGTGCGTTGCGCAAAACCGAAGCGCGACGTAACGTTAGACATCAATTTAAATATATTTTACGGTAGAAATGCGCTTAAATATTCATGCGCCATGGGCGAAGGGACATCGAGCTCGGCACGACAATGCGCTATCGCCGCCCATCACTCAAAATGCGGAAAATGAAACCCGAAACTCTCTCTCGCGCCGCGCGCCGCTCATCTCGTATAATTGGACAAATCAAAATGCATATATTACACAATCTGAAAATTTGAATCAACATTCAGAAAAAATTACAATTTCACAAATTGATGGTACGAGAAAAAAACGAATTTATAACACGAATGTATTTTCATTTTCAAACGTAGATAATGTAGGCGATAAGCGGCGAATGAATTGAATTTGAATTAGAATCAGAATGAAAATTAGAAAGTTGTCGTGCGTGTTTTCGATGCTTGAAGTATCCGATCCATCGAAATGTTTTTGTTCGGTTTATTAACACGTTAACCGTAAACCGTTACTGCATGAATGATACGTACAAATATGGTCGTTTCTCAAAATTGGCACAAATTTCCGACTCGGGTGTCGTAAAATCGCCGTCTTGTCGATAATAATGATTGCGTAATTAACTCGAAATCCTCGAAATAATTATTGGACATATTTATCGGCAATTTAATTATACTGGAGTATCAATTAGCGAGCATCTCGACAACTTGCCGGCTTTAATAATTCCCAATTCTCGATGCGAGACTTGGAATTTCCAATTAGTTCGTCGTTTTTGTGGGATTTGCAGAGGCCGGAGAAAGAGAAATAAACGCTCGTAATTATTCATACTTGAAGCACTCTGGCGCACTCGAAGGCAACATGGCGCAGCGTGTTAATAACAAAGCTATTAATTATCAATTCAAGTCGAGGCGAGTCGAGTCCGCTTTACCATTCATTCGGCGAGGGTGCAACAAACGGCAACAACAAGTGCACGCACATTTCGGAAATGTAGATGAATGTTAATGCACTTGCAGTCGGTGAATTGACGCAAGTGGATGGCGAGGGAAATGAAGATCAGAAGATGTATATATATATACAAGATGAGATCGCTTGGAATGACGATCATGACTCGTAATTTATTCTCTGCGTACTCGGAGCGGAAGGAAAAGTGCAGACGAGATGCCATTTTGTTATTTCATGTAGCAACTTTTATTTTGTGTGTTTTCTACAGCAATTTTATGAATCGCTGAAACGATTCTTCGGCAGTCGCAATCTTATTTCGTTATTTCGATTGGAAACTAAAACGATAGAGTTGCATTTGTAAATCCAGCTCGCCGTCGTATTTTCGTTTTGTTTTCTTGGCTGGCTGCTCGCACGCTCGGACGCTGAACAATTCAAGCATTAGTAATAAATTTCCAAACGACCGAGCGTGCACACTACACTCGTAGTGTTTCTGTAAAGTCAAAAGTCTTCGGAGTATTTGTACGCTGGCTGGCGGAGTTGTTCAAGTGAGGAACACCCAGTGGGAGTATGTGACGTGTGTGAACACAGAAGTGGGCCACCTGGTGACCCCCATAGCGGGCAAGGACCGCGGGCGAAGAACCTTGTACTCGAAGACGCGCTCGCACTTGTTCTTCTTCCTCTTCTTCTTCGTCTTGTTTTTCTTCTTTAGTCAGATGTTATAGTATGTGTGCGTGTGGTACAAGTGCGTGTTTCTTGTTTCTCGTTTCTTGTCTCATGAATCACTGACCACCTCACAAAACGTTCGTTGGTTCGACGTGCGCACGGAATAAATGTAACGCGATCGCATCAAAGACGCTCCACCATGCGACGCGTGCTGCTCGTCGTCGTCGCTGTGTTTGCCTTCGCATCGTTGGCGTCGGCGGCGAACATTTTGGGTGAGTTGCGATTGCATTACTTCGGCCAGAGAACCACCCCTACAACTCGCGTGGCGTTTGTTTGCAGATCTGATTTACCGCGGCGCTACGGCTGATAGCAAATTGGAGAAGCAGTCTGAGGAGGTGGCCAAACCGGAGCAAAAACAGCAAGATGTGCACCAGGAGGAAGCAACCGAGCAGGAACAACATTCGGAGTCCTCAGATGAGAAAACATGCGATTGCAACGGCTTGGAATGCATGTGCTGTGTTGACTTTAACATGACTTTTATTGATCTTGGCAAAGGTAAACAAAAACAAACATCATTAGTGTTGCTTCCGGTTTCCGGTTAGTAACAAGATATTTTTTTGTTCTGCTGCTGTAGGTTGTGTAAAGATGAAATACATTTCTCAAACTGAGGGCGTCTTGCTGAATGTGTCGTATGGCGATAATCTATTGCGAAGCGGGATGTCCCGGGGGCCGCGACCGGGATCCACGTGTGTTTCGATGATCGGCCAGCTAGCAGCAGTATGTGCCCGGTTCACGTCCCTTCTGCCACACGATGACGGATTGAAGGGCTGCCTCAAACTAGAACCTAAACTACTCGGTGACGTGCAGACGCGGCTCAGCATCGGCTGCTTTGCAATGAACGCCGACGGTATGCGGCTGGACGATAGCCTCCAACAAGAGCTGGAGCAGGAACAAGAAGCAACGACGGTTGCGCCCACCGACGCCGTCACCATTGCCAACACTAATCAAACCAACAGCGTCGAGGAGAACGCGACGTGAGTAAATCCATTTGTAACGTTGTTTCCCAACAACCGGCGTTCGTTTTCCAACTTCCGGCTTCCCTTCTTGCCCATGCTTGTTCTTCGTAGCCCAACGGCGCGAACGTTTTTTGCGTCCGCTCCTGAGTTATAGTCCTGCTCCCGCTTTTATTTTTTTTTTAACGCTGACTTTTTTGCAGTGGCAATTTAAACGAGGACGAGATACTGGCCGCGGTTAACGAGTCTGCACAAAAGGGCTTGGCATTCTTTCAAAACTGGCTGGGACTAGACTTTGGCGGCGGTGCAAACTCTGCAAGCGCAGGGAATGGCACACAGCAGGACGAGACGCCGGAGGATGAGAGCGGCACCGAAACAGCCGCCGCCAAACAAGCAGTTGACGCAAACGACGAGACAACCGAGACTCCCACCCAAAAAGTCGCCAGTTCTTCGTCAACGTGAGAGATAAAAGAGTCATGAAAGGTGCTTGTAAACAGGGTACAAGTGAAAATTTCACACTATCAATTGTTAATTTAGTTTGTAGCAGTATTATTTATTTTAACACGTAACTAATTGTTAGAAACACATGTTTGGCTTAGACGGAATTAAAATTATAATACGTCAATTAAAGAACTGAACCGAAATAAATTATTCCATAAAAAAAACTAAATATGTAATTTAATTCTACCTCAACTATTTAATGTTACCCGCGCCCGATGTTGCTTAACTTCAGAAATCGCAGAAATTCACGAGTTTCAGCAATACTACGGCCGTTGCCTGAAAGGTACCCTATAATAATATATTAAGTATTAAGTGGTGAAACGGGAGCTTTACTCACGAGGTTGATTGAGAGCAAGCGTAGTGAGTATTTAATCAATCAAGTGTTTAACAACATTTGGCCTCGTGATGCTTACGCTATTTTTTCAACTTCCACTTTATTTCTACGTTCGGTTTTGATAATTAAATTTTTCAACGCGAGCAACAGCAGTGTCTGCTTTATATACGAGCAACAGCATCGCCTGCTTTGACTTGTTTGACTGGCGGCGCATTCATTTAATATGGTCTGGTGCGGCCCCGTACGTAAATGCGCACGTGCATGCTCCACCCCGTAGATAATGTCGGTGTGTAAAGTACATTACTCACGACTTGGTCGTTCGTATATAAAGTACCACTTTTTATGTCCAAATATCGTGGAAAAACAGGTACTTTATTGGTGGAAGTAGAAAAAATATAATTAACGAACACGTTATCTAATGTAACAATTGTGATACTTTCAGTAAATAATATACATCCAAAAATGCCCCTGTACAAAGGGTAATAAAATTATGAATTATATTTTTTTATTATTAAGGCGCTAATAGCACCCCAATATGTAATTATTCAAAATCCAAAATCTAAATAAAAAATGCAATTATTACAAAACCTCCATTTGCTGAAACAAAATATTTGTCTTTTTTTTGTTGAAGATTAAAAGTTGGAATATTTAAATTCTGATTTTAGATTCTTATAGATTGTTTTATTGTATATTGCTCATTTAATACTTTTTAATTACATTAATTAAATATAATTTGCAATTATATTCCGAACCATAATACAGTTAAGTTCTGAAGAATTAAATAATTTATCAACGCCCACAACCAGAATTTAAAAATTCCAACTTTTAATTTCCAATATAAAAAGGAGAAATATTTTGCCTTTTTATAACAAAATCCTTCCTTTATTTTTATTTTATACAAATTTGTTCGTTTTATAAAAATATACCAACTTGTCGCGAATTCCTCAAGCATCAAGAATATAAAGTTTTTCCTTTTAGTTCTTGAGATAAATATAATTTAATCTTTTAAATTTTTCTTGGTGGAGGCGCTTTTGACGGTTAAAAAATTAAGATAGATCTTCTTCGACAAAGAATAATTTCATTCAAAAAAGTTCGACCCTGTCTTTCAGCATAACATGGTTTTATCGAACACATTAAACGCCCTCTGTTGACCGAAATTAATTTCAACGATATATTCGACAAAAAAATGTAAAATTGTGAAAAAATTTCCGTTTTAAAAAAAAAATTAACAGCATTTCCTAAGAGTTTAAAGTCTGGAAAATATCTATCTATGGTTCCGGTGTTTTTCACGGTCAATATTTTTAATTTTCTAAAATAGAAGTTTTGACGATTAATTTGGGCACTTCTGAAGAACTTTGAGGCGCAGAAATGTACTTATTTTATAGAAGGACTATTTCACTATTATATGACGATGAGATCATTTCAATTGCTCTAGTAGTTCAAGAAAAATAGAGGATTTTGCAAGGCAACTTCAAAAACATTAAAAAATAACCAGCATTTAACAAGCGTTTTGTGGCACTTTCGGGTATTTCCATGCGTTATACGTATACCGATCTTATAAAAGATCTCCATCGGTTTCAGAAATACAACATGTTTTCAAGCCAACTTTAAGAAAGTATGGAAGAAAAGATACGAATGCTTAAAATAAGTACGCAGTAACAAAGTTAGTTTCATTAATTTATTATAACTTTATTTACTTTTTAGTTTTGCATATATGTACAATAAGGATCGCCAAATGTTCAATTGTCCTGAATATGTTCACATAAACCGTTTTGTCTCACCGTCTCATGTAAAGCATGATTACAAATAAATAAAATCAACTATTTCAAATTAACATTTACATATACATACAATCGTTACATACATACATTGATATAAAAACATAATTATAAACGTGGCTAACAATATATAATCGCTTCTGGCTGTTGTGTGTTCATTTTAATCAGTGTGCTAACTATACAATCACTTACTCGCTACAATTGATTAAATCTTTCCTCAGTTATTCAATAGTTGGACAGAAATCATTAATCATTTGTTGGACATTTTGCTTGACTTGTTTCATATTAATTCTCGTTATTTGGTTTTTGTGTGCCTCCTACAAACAAAAATTCAGAGGGCCAATACATATTACCTACATCTCCTACATATTGTTTATAATTTGCTAGCATTGGTTGATTTTGGTTCTGCGTTCGGTTCTGAGCAAGGACGATTGCGATCGTTTACTGACAGACTAGCAGACGAAATTATACACATCATCCTAGAATTTAAAATTGCTTATTAATAAAATATGTCTTGTTTCATTACTTTACGGGCGTTTAAGTTTATATACCTGAAGAAATCACTACACAAACTATTTACAAACTCGGTTTTGTTGGTTGTTTTTTTTTCTCTTACTTTTTGGCAATTAAACATTGTCATCATTTGCAATCAGCATGCCTCGCTCGGTATTAAATATAACGTTTTCTTGTTTAATTATTTATTGATTAGTAGACGGAAACTTTTGGGAATGTTTTGGCGTTTGTTTTGTTTCATTTGCTTCATCATCATCAACGTGCGTATCGGCGTCAATAATTTTCCTAGCTTATCTTTATATTAATATGCTTAGTGGTGATTTAGCACAGGTAACATTTTGGATTATCTTTAATATTCTAGTCGTTATTCAGACAACTAAAGCGGTGACACTAGCTCGCCGATGCTACGTTACACAGAGAAATAAAAAGGAAGCAAAGTTACTATGGTAGCAGAAGTTGAATAATTTTAACATTTTTTGGTGTTTTGTGCAATAGTTCACAAGTCAAAAGCCACTAATCTGTGTTAATTATTGAGCTATTTGGTTTCGGTTTTTAGTTTCTTCAGAATCATCGCCAGTGATTGCATTTATATAAGTGCAGGTGCGCTCAATTACTGATGCAGTAAAACAATTCGTAAGTTTCAAGCAAACTATACACTTATTGCTTGTACATTTTACTTTATTACATCGTCGTAAAGATATTAAAGGAGTTGAATTATCTTAGTAGCAACGCATCAGCAACAGACAGCACTTTTCTGTTATAGGTATCTTTAATATTTTGTATATAAAAATATGACCCAATTTGCTTGTATTTCGCTCAAACCAAAAATAACGCATTAAAAAATTCAAAACCTTCACATCCAACGTTAAAATATGTTTGACAACTCATCAAACGCATGTACAATGTAACCGAAACTAAACGAGTATCACAGAACATATATACATTTTCTTTATAAAATCTCCTCGATCCGCCAAAGTCCAACATGCCATGGTTAAGGGATGAAATATTCAAAAATGCAACTAATTTAAACGTATCGTCAAAATGCGCATAGGAATGTATCAATAATCGCTGTTTAGTGCCCGGAAATTGGGAATTGCGAATCCATAATTATCATAAAGTTCTTAAAGATTAGAGTAAGCCCAATCGGTTCACAAAAACACCCAACCAGTTTCTGGATTCCCTCATCAATCTCTTAAACTACGATAATTATTATAAAACAGTGTGGGATTGTATAATTAATGAATAGAAGTCGAACTTGTAAACTAGTTCTAATGGTAAACTAGTTGTATGTTGCTAGAAGTTTCCCTTTTGTAATCCCTAAAGTTCTTCATCTTCGCTTTTGGACATCAAGAATATTGTGGTAAATTCGGGAGGTTCTTTTGACGCGTTTCGAGGACGGCGACAACTACGCTTGTTCCAACTACTCGTACCTAAATTACTCCGTTCGCATCATCTTCACAAAATGGTAAAATTGTTAAAACGTTAAATTCAAATGGTTATCAGGGTGGTTTCGTCAATGGAGGGGACTAGTGTTAGTTAGGACTGCATTTCGGTTTTCGGTGTGCACAATGGCCGCCCGTGAGCAACCCTTCGCCGCGCGATCTTGAGCGCGGCATGCGCGATAAGATATCACCTAGAATGACATATAAACAGCTACTGAATATACACGTCCTGAACAGGTCTTAAATCATAAATAACTGGATTCTACTGTACAAAAAGAATCAAATCAATAACTTAGCATTAAAAACCTATCACGATCACTAGAAACTCCAACTGAAAGTGGAACTATAACTAGAACGCAATCTTATTTACAACCAGAAATTAAACGGGAGCGCAAGGGGGCAGTCAGTTTTTAGACTGACCTTTCGCGGAAGCGGCACCGCCGCATCGAGCATGATTTGATGCGTTGAGTGCGTCCTGCGCCTTGTACTGACGCATCGCACGGCCACGCCGATCCAGGATAAGCTTGTCAGCTCTGGTGAACAGACCGTGCTTCGGACGGCAGGTGAAGTATCTCACACCTTGCACCGTTCCATCATTTTTACCTAAAATAACGCATAAAAATATTAAATAACAATAAATTTATCAAGGTAAGAAAATTCCGGGTCATTTACCTTTCGGTGCATCAAGTTCCACACCAATCCACGTTCCGCTGGAGAATTCCGTCGGGCCAATGAAGGCGACGACGCCGGACGAGTTGTAAGGACGAATTAGGACGCTCTCACCCAGTACGACCCAGTCAGGTACAGGTACGTCGGCTAATTTATTGAGATCAGGACGGGAACCAAAATTATTATCACTGTCATCTACAAATAACAAAATTAATGTGCTGCTGACTATCCAATAGAAGTAAAACTTCTAATTTCCCAAGTTTTATGCGCCGAAAGAAGTTTTCACCTCAAAAATTTTATAATGTGAATAATTACCTTCTAGTTTATCAGTAGAACTATCAGTGCCATCTTCATGGGTCATCAACCTATTGATTAGTTCACCTTGCGGCTTAACTTCCGTGGACGTTATACGACTCTGGGGGAAGGAAGCGCGTTGTGGCGCGTTCTTAGCACTCGTTTTCTTGCGCCGCACGACTTTCCCTGGTGACATGTTTGTCTTCACAATACCGCTCTCAGACGGAGAATCCGACTCGGTCTTCTCACACCAACCATTTATTTCGGTCATTGGATCCGACTTAACTTCTTCGGATATGATTTTCAAGTTTTCTTCCATTGTCTACAATAAAAATTAAATAAGATAACAAAATTGATGTATTTTAAAAGAAATTTAACGTTTACTTACGTTAGTAAGTTCTTCTTCAGTGGGTTCCAATCGACTTTCGGCAGTCGTAGGCCGTAAATCCATGTCTGGCGTGTCGTCTACACTAATGCTACGACATGACATTGAGTCCTCGCTAGTGAGGTTGGTCGAAGAGACGGCCTGGGACCCATAGCCGCTTGAATTCGCCGACGGGGTGCTCGTCTTAGGCGCGTACTCTACCAAAGAATCCAAAGTACGCGACGTCGGCATCGTTCTTCGTCGATGATTGGCGGATTTGGTCTTATTGTAAAAATCCGATTTGGCATCTGATCCCTCGTAATCCTCCTTTTCTTCTTCGGTTTCTGCATCGACAATCAAGTCTAGCGAGTGCTTCCGTTGCATTGGTAACTCTTCATGAAGCGTAGTCATTCTCAACGTCATTTTAGGATTGGCAGGCGAGACTATCAAAAAATATTGTAATTTTAGGAACTATTCAAGAAAAACAACAAAAATTCTACAAAATATACTCAAAACAATATCCAAAAAAGAAGAAAACCCAAAAATTCTATCTAAAACTCAAGAAAAACTCATAAAATGTAGTTCAAACACATCAAACATACATTTTGTAACTCCAGTTGGTTGATTCAATCGCAGCGCATTCAAATTCAAGCTGAGATTGAGGAAAGTCGGTCGAGCTGTAAGACAGCAAAGAAATGTCACCAAATGTTTAACTACGACGCCATCCTAGTCACATCATTCCACGCCTCGATTCAATTGTAAAGTCAGAGAGACTAACATATCTCTAAATACATTTAACAGACCATGCAAGAATGCCAATTGTATACAACGTGTTTCTCGTCTACCGGTCGATAATCTCAAGTTCGTTTTGTTTAACTTTTGTAAAATATTGTTGTTTTCAAAGCTACCATGCGAATGGTCTCCTAGAGTAATTTTATCGACTCCTATAAAGTTTTTACTACATAGATGTGAAGAAAATTTCAAGAATCTAACATGTTTTGTTTTAAATTTGCTTTCAATCATTGAGAGTCTCTGTGACTTTATCGCTGAATATTCTGTACCTAAACGAGTTTCAGTTCTTATGAATGTGACGTGTTGTGATCAGTTTGATTTTGTTTTGTGTGTCAAACATTGGAATAACATCAAAGTACGTCTGAGGTACTTTTTATATCTTGAAAAAAGTTGTAAATAGAAAAGATGCATAATCACATCGCCACATCAGACCAATAACTGTAAAAGTTGAAAGACAACTGAACATGTTGCGAATGTTTGCGATGATGATCGGAGATGCAGATGCTGACAAGGCGTGAATGAATGATGATGATGTTGATGCGGATGATGATGTCCGATAGAGAGATGCGAAGTGTTTCGTGAAATGAATTGCGGCTGAAGGGGGCAGCGGGCAAGAAGGAGGGCTGGCATAAATACAGACATGCTTCGATCGATCAGTTTTTCTACAGGACTAGAAACATCTACGGATCGTGAGTAGCGAGCACGATCGCGCGTCACTCATTCAGACGCGACATGGTTTTGCATGCCGTTCTACTGATATTCATCCCCCAGATCACACGCAACAGATTCAAAATTCGAAATTGAATTCAGAATCGTGCGTTGGATCTAGAATTAGTGGGACGCTAACAAAATAAGCATTCGCCATTCTTGGTTTTGATCTTGTCTGGCCAAAACAAAAAAAAATCATCGCTTTTTGGTCTCGCTCGAATCAATTGAAAACTTGTTAGAACAAAAGGTCCACATAATTAGACAATCGCAATTCCAATGCGCAAGCCTCCATCGTTTACCTGACAAAATGGAGCCTTGAGGTTGCAGAAAAAACAGAGATTCGAAAACGGCAAATTAGTCAAACATTTAGATATAACTTTTTTTGGTAAATGTTAACTGCCCGAGGGTAAAAATGTCACACGCTTGGTTTCACCTATCGAGGTAATCCTCGACCGCACGCATACTCGCAGCATTAGAAGTAAGCAAATGAAAAAGGTCGAGATAAAAAATCTGAATAAACACCAATCATCCCAGGCTGTCAACGTCGAAAATAAAAGTCTTTTTAAGCGCTGGGACGATCAGCTCGATAAAAATGTATTTGATGCAATATGTCGAAAAGTAGCCCTCGTATAAAGCGGCAAATCGAATGCAGAATAGAAAAATGGATGGTAATAATAGAAGAGAATGGTAACACTCAAAGGCATTATGCTGCACTATGCTCAAAGGTGCATATTGCATAGAATCGAAACGAAATATCAACGAAAACACACAAAAAAAGAAAACAAACGCTGATTCGTTCATCGACATGTGCGTGATTTGAATCATTTGATACAAATTGATACAATCTATTGCTCTATATACCTATAGCTAAATTATGTAAATGACCATGACAACACTTGATCCTATCAACTGATCTACCTAAATCTTCAAAAAACAACTGCGTCTATTTCATATTATCAATTTTAGTGTCGATTAGAATGCTATGAATTTGAATAATCGATTAGTGGTAATGGCGTCCATGATGGAGCCTGTGGTCTTACCTAATCCGAAGGGTTTTGATGGGACGTCGTCCTTGGAGAAACTGGAGCGCGACCGCAGCGGATTCGAGGAGAATTCGCTCAGCTCGTTGACGCTCTCCGAGCGCGACATGTTGAGCATGTTCAAGGACTCCGTGCTCGTATCCAGGCGCATCAACTGCACAAGAAAATTGGTTATTCCCCGCTAGAGACCAGATTATGTATGCAAAGCAATATACATGTAAATGAAGAGGGTTTGGGTAGCGTGTTGAGGTGGAGACAAACCAGGAGAAAATAAAACACAAGTTCAACGACAAAATCACAAATGTGAAGAGAGAACATACCCCGTTCTTGGTCTCCAAAGCCTGATTGTGCAATTGAACGTACAAAATGTTTACTTGAGATACGAAATTCTGGGATTAGAAAGAAGCGTGGTATTACCTGAGAGAAGTTTGGCACCGAAGCGGTCTTCCTCATCAAGGGTTGACCATTCGCTTGAAGGAGTTCCTTCACGGCGACGCTCTGGCGAAGACGGTCCAGAGCAAGAATGCTTTCCACCGCAGACACACCTCTTGTGTATTTTTCTGTGGGGAATTTCAAAGAAAAATATTAAAACTTTTACTTTTACTTGAATAAATCACATGTCTGTACCTATATATGTCTCTCCATCTACCAATGAAGAGTCCTCACCAGACGCAGCAAGTTGCGCTAAGGATTCGCGATCTTCAAGTTCCTCACTAGCTTTTGGAATATTGGACACCACCTCGTAGGTAACACCCGACTGACAAATAATATCAGAGCGCACAATACGCCGTTTAATACGATCTGTCAAACTTTGTCGTTTGTAAATGTTTAGAGCGAGGCGTTTTCGGAGGACCAAGTTCATCGGAGCAGGATGAGAAAGCCTTACAGTTGTCCTTAGAATTAAGTACACTCTAGTGTTAGCTGTAATAAATAAAATATTATATTAAATAAAGTAACAAAATGGTATCAATTTACTCACGATCTGTAATCTTATTCAAATGAATACTATCGTGAATAGACGAGTCCCAGGACGCCACAGCGCACACATCTTTCTCCAAATGTTGCAGAATATGAAGGGGATAGAATTTATTGCCAATCTCCTTGGGCAGGATTGAATTTCCGCCGCTGATTGATACTTCATCGCCGGATTGATGAGTAGATAAATCATCAGCTATACAAATACAATGAAAACAATTTTAGAAATTGTATTTTGATTGAAAAGGATAAATTACCGTTTAAATCAAGGAAAAGTACAGGAACATAAGGTTCCATTCCATGAGGAGGATCCCAAACAGCGGGGGCACCTGGTATACCCGAACCTGGATTGGGAACGAGCACCGCATTCCGCTCCTCAGTTAAATTCACCCACTGATCTACTAAACTCTGTTCTCTTTCAATATCCTGCTCGGTTTTATCCGACTTATCGATTAACTTTTTAATCTGCTGATCCAAATATTGCCTGCGCCTCATTAAAGCTTCACTCCACTTTTCCCTCAGGACCGTCAGGTCTTCCTCCTGATAGGAATCCAAAGCTTTCTGTAATCTGTTCCGCACCAATACTCCGCCGACTTCAATCTTTACAATAGACTGGCAGATAATCGGTAGCGTGCCAGAGTTTTGGACAGGTCTAACCCTGACTTGAATTCGTCTCTGTTGACCTTGTCGAAGTTGGTAGACACCTCCAGTCAACATGTCTACCTTGTTGCTAACTTCAACAGGAGCATATTCTCCTTGATCGTTCAGCTCCTGAATCTCCGCCCATAGTTCGATTTTTCTCGTTAGCTCACCCCAACGATCGGCCAGCGATCGTGCTTTTGCCAACTGCTGCTGTTCCACTTCCCAGCCAGGTTTAGTCCTTGAAAAACCTGCGCTCCGATGTCCCCACACCTCGATAGACAACGCACCTTCAGAGCAATGCTCCAAGAACTCTTCGTTGATGTGAACGGTAAACTCCTTTTCATGATTGAATTTCAAGGAGTCTTTTTGACTAACCAAAATGTGTTCGGGAATGTCCACTTTCGGTGGGATTACCGTATATTCGGGATGTCCCCAAAAGGTGTACTGACAAAAGACAAAATGTGACAGGGATAGAGGTAATCCAGATGCTTGTTTAACGTTCACACGGATTGTCACATGTTGTGAACTAATATCATCGTCGTCATCGTCTGTGCTGCTTTCCGAAGAGCTGTCTGATCCTGCGGCGCACATTCGGTCTTTGGGCAACACGCCAGAAACGCGTGTCAGTTCAACCTGTTGGTAGAAAAGCATGAAACGCGGTCACGAATAGGAGATTTCCAGTCGTAGTATCGATTTTACCTGCAGCCTGCCGGTGACTTCGCCCTGCTGGCTGATGATTGGCGTGTGGTAGTCGAGCACGACGTCCTCGAAAAGACATTCGAGGAAGATGTTCGCCACACCGATAAGGTTGTGATTCTCTTGGGATTCGTAGAAGGGGTCTATCTTCGAATCGATTTGTTCCTGGAAACGCGATGCAAATTACAGGAATTTTAATTACATTGAACATGACACGCCATTAGAAGAAACGATTAATTTTGGAAAACATGTCAATTTTAATTGCCAATTTATACTCGAAGGTTGTTCCGATTCTATTAAGGGTTAAATTAATAACAAATAAAAATTAATCTTGAGTTTTCCTGGATTTTTACCATAATGTTCAGTTATGTAAATGATGAAAAACATCGGAATTTAATCGCGTAACCAAATAAGACAGAAAATCAATTGTTCGCTTTCGCTTTTGTGGAATTTCATTTCCATTAATAAATGACATGCCAAACCATCGATTAATTAAATTAAAAGGATTAAATTTAATAGTTCTACTGACATTTTGAATGTGCTCATAAATTCCCTAATGGAAATTTGTTTTTACGCGCATAAAAATGTATATGTTTGCTAAAGAAAGGAAAATACGAACTTCATTGGTTTCTAGTTTACCTTGTTATCCAGTCCCTTTTCGTCGTACGTCTCGCGCATGTCGATGAGTTTGTTTTCCAGTTTATCCATACTCCACACCTGGCTGGCCATTTTCACGCGTTTCACTAGAATCGCCGGTTCGCTGACAAACGCGCCCTTCTGCAAAATTACCAAACCGTTTAATTCCACCCGCATTCGCATGAAAACATGAAAGCGCGCATGAGAGCATGCTCCGGCAACAAATTACCGCCCACGAAATGAAACTCTGTGCGCTCAACTCACAACCTTCGCTTTAATTTACGTAATTCGTACCTTTCTGTTCGGACTCAAATTAGCTGGTGGAATCTGCAGAGTGACGCTAAACTTGGTATTCCTGCCCATTTCCTCTGACAACCGGTTCGCCTCCTGTACCAATGCATTCGCCTTTAGGATATCCGTCTTCAACTGACCAATACTGCGCTTGAACATTTCATCAACTCGCATTTGCGTTGTCGGAGTGCAAGCGACAGTTTTGAATTTAAACGGATCGTAAGCATACGGAGGATATGGCGTAGTCGGCGACATTATGCTTCGTAACTGTTGCAACTGCCGTTCGTACTCCTGACGCTGTTTCTCCAGCGCAACCTCTTTATCCTCTTCATGTTGTCGCTCCAAGCGGGATATTGCCGCTTGAATAGGGTCATTGCTGAGTTCATTCAACATCAACTCATCACGAGCAAAGTTATAATCGATGTATTGTGCGGGCGTTTGTGGTTCGGACGCCGATGCTAAACAAAACACACTCATTTAATAAAAACAAACAAACTGGCGGTCAAAAAGACTTACATATTGAACGTGGACAATTAACCCGGAAGAAATGATGATTGCCCCACACAATGCGGTCGCCATTTTTGAGCGGAGTGACTGTGGTGACCTGCGAGCCGTTAATATAAGACCGCGCATTTTCGACTGGTTCCAGAAACAGGCAGCCATCTTTAATATTGATGATGCAATGTTCTGGTTGAATTCCAAGACCGGATAATTGTATGTCCGGCTCGGGTCCACTGCCATTCGTTTTAGCGCCCACAACAGTCGTCTCCTGCAATTACAAGCATCAAGAGAGTGTAATATGTGAGTGGTCAGCGCGGGTCGCGTGATTATACAAACCTTCAAATAGTAAACGAGCAATTCGTTGAGACAAGGGTCGGCGTTCAAGTTGACCAAGTAGAACTTGTTCTTCTCGACCTTAATCCCGGAATCCTGAATGCTAATACCCATCTTCTCGAGTGTCTGCTGGCGTTCGTTCTGAATACGCTCGGTTTTCACGAGTTTCTCCTCCCAGGTCTGCGACATCTCCTTGTAGAGCTTTTCGGATTCGACGAGCTTTTTATTGATGTCGATTTTTTGTATCTCACCGACGGGTGAACCCTGCCAAAACAAAAAAACAAGATCATAAAATGTCTACGGGCCAAGGACCTAAACCAAAGTCCTACCGTCGCATGTTTTAGCATTTCCTTCAAAGCTTCGACCTCTTGGCGCAGTTCCCGGATAATCCTCGCATTCGGATCTTCATTGATGACGGCATGATTAACAATACGCTTGGCCCTATCAGCATACCGCAACGTTGACAGTGTTTCCTCGTAATTATCCGCCGCTGGCGAGATGGTCGCCACCATAACAGTCCGGCTGTTACCACCCAGATTATCTTTGAGCAGCCAGGTGAGCACCGAGTCACGGTATGGCACGAATTTGTCTTTGTTTTTGCTCCCAGTCGCCTGATCAGCTAATTTTGAGATGACTAGACCTAAAGTAGTCAGGGATCTGTCCAACACAACACATAAATCAATCAGAACCACAACAAAAAGGTTGATAAACAACTAAATCATACTTGTTGATGTTGGATCCTTCCTTTAATCGATCCCCAACAGCGCCAGTCTTGACGGCTCGTTCAGACCCAGCCAAATCTACCAAAGACATGCGACTCTGCTTCTCACCACTCACTCCACTCTTGATATCAGTGAGGGTCTGAGTCAGAATCACCGTAAAAACAGCATGGGACCGCGACGATTCGCTGTTCATATTGGTAGCGGCAACCGTTCGCGATTTGTTGCCTTCGGCCATCAAGTTATCGATGTCCTGATTAGAAAAAAGCAAAAAAGCGAAGACGGATTAATCTACTGCAACATAAACTACCGTGGAGTAAAATACGAGCGAGACCCTCGAGGCGATAAGGGTCTCTGCAGTATTCTCTAATTCTCAGCGTTAGATGAGGGTTTGTTGGAGGCGCAGGATTTAGCACGTTCGTAACTTACTTGAAACGACGTCACTGCTAATTGCGACAATCCATCAACGTACGGGCCGAGCACGTTGTGCTCGCGCACCTTCAGCGACTGCTTGTTCGTCTGCGGGTCGAGGAGGTCGTGCACCTTCTCGTTGTAGATCTCCATGTAGGACACCTCCACCTTGTAGCTCAGCTCGGAACTCTGTTGCTTGGCGATGATTTCAAACAAAGCATCACACAAACGTGGAATGAGCCCTTTATTATCCTGTGCGCCCATCATCGTATATGATTTTCCAGAACCTAACCAAAAATTTGGACTATTATTGTGAAACATAAAATTTTACGCATTGTCATTGAAAAATGAACCAATTTTTAGTCATTCGTATGGATATTTTGTTGTTGAAATTTACGACTTGCAATTAAAACGCGCAAACCAGTCCTAATTGTCTACCGTTCGCTGTTGGCGCAATGGCTGCTGACGCAACACCGTGTCAAACGCAATTCGCGTGCCTTAATTATTAATTAACGCCGGCGTCCGCCCTCGAGAGCTGGAAACTATAACGCGCGCATATTTCATATTTCAATTTCACTTAGAATTTCATGGCCATGCCGTCCGCCATCTTGCCGTTACCAAACAAATATAACGCGCAAAAACGTCCTAAACAGTTATAGTGGTGTTAATGATTGTCGTAAAAAAGAAGAATTTAATTAACCAAATGCAAACAAACATACTCATAGGCATAAAACACACGCAATCATCCCTTGTGAACAAGTGTGTGTGAAAATTCGCCGAGGCGGAAAAACCGAGCCCTTATTTCTCATTTTTTCGGTTCGTATTTCATGCCTCGTTCGTCCGTGTTACGATTATTACCGTATCATCATTGTGTGCGCACTCGCACCCTCTTTACGTGAAAAGAAAAGAAACCCGCTTGAAAAATGTATGGAAATAGGCACGACGAAAAGAAGAAGGAGTTTCTTGACATGATGACACAGACACGCGCTGTCCAACACAGCAAATCCTCAATTTTTCAACCCGAAACATAAAACGCGGATTGCATTACCTGCGTGGGAAATATTTTCTTCGCATACACGAATTTCATTAGGTACAATGTCCGAATTAAAATTCCTCATTAAATTTGTGTGCGGACGTTTTTATATGGCCTAGAGTTAAATTACATTTGAATTATTGTCTTTTCATGCGGGTTTTCGTGGTGGAATTTTTGTATAATAATTTCTTTTTTTACGCTTTTACGAAGCGTAGTGTAAATTAGGCGCCGGGTTGGAAATTCAGAATGTTTTTTTGCTTTCGCAGCGCACAAGAGAAGAGCAGAAGTGCGAAAAGTCTCTTAAGAGACCCCCGAGAGAAAAAGCAATTTGTACCGCGATTAGAGTTATAAGAGGTGTGGCGCAAAAGGCGCAAAACTCTGCAATTTCGTGAAAATTTAAGACTACAGTTACCGAAATTTTAAGCAAACTTTAAGCAAACGTTATATTTTGTATTTTTAATGAAATTAATAATTTCCAAAGCGAAAATAAGCTAAAAATGATTAAAAAATCCACTTACCGGTTTGGCCATAGGCAAATATGCAGGCATTATATCCTTGGAAAGCATTATCAAGAATATCCTTGCCCACACTTGCGAAGACTTTCTCCTGCGATGCGAAACGATCCGTGCCAGGTTCGATCGAGTCGAAACAATGATCAAACGCGAACGTTTTTGGTTGTTTTCTGCAAAACAAAAAAAAAATAACGAAAAATTCATTTAAAACCAATTTATTTTATTGAGCACAATATCAAACGAAAGAATTAATTGGACGCGTCACGTTTCACAAAAACGTTGAATGAAAAAACTCATACAATAACAAAAAACGCACGATGAAACAATGGTTATTAAGCTTATAGATTAAAAAAGTCTACACCTGCTACTGTCAGTATGTATAGTATTGTGCTGTGAGTACAATTATGATTGTGAATGTAATTGTAATTCTATAGATTTGTATTGCCATTGTTCTCTTTTAATGCCAATGCGTCTGCTAGCTCCCAAATTAATATCAATTCAATTATGGATACTTATAAAATATGCAACCAAATGCACACGGGTTTATTTAATGTACAATATGTTGCCTAGAGTAAACATGAATCGCAAAAATAGTAATAGTAAACTCTATTGATTTGTACGCATCGATTGGTATGTTGACAAGCGTGTATAGTTAAATAAATTAATGCATGTGTTCGCGTGTGTTATCGCATCGCGTATATTTATTTTCCTGTCAGAAGCGAAAAGCGCGGCGTGTACGATGTGCGCCACCCAAAATGCAAATGCAGTGTTCAATTAAAATTTGCATACTTTACACGAACTGCATTTTTGTACAGTTTTTTTTTGCTTGGTTGATATTTTTAATTCCTATCGTGGCAAAACGGATAACACCAAACGAGCAAACACATAAAAATCCCGCTGTTTTATCATTTTCCGCTGCAGTTTGTTTATTATGGGTAATAAGATAACATGTTATAAACGTTTGTTTTTGGCTCTTTTTTCCTATTTTTTTCGCTCATATTTAGAGCAGAAAGTGTCCGAGAAACGAAAACATATGAAAACTTGCCCCAGAATTCCACATACTTTTGAATATCATCACTACATAGTATAAAGTAAAGTCGTTTTTTTTTGTATGTTTAAATCTTTGAAACTACGCAACGGATTTTGATGCGGTTTTTTTTTAATAGATAGAGTAATTCAAGAGGAAGGTTTGTATGTATAATAACATCCATTAAATAGTGGAGAAGTACTGTTATTTTTGAGGTTTCTAATATGATGTTGTAAACTCTGCCGTCTACTCTTTGTGCGATGCTTCGTAGCTTCCCCCCCCTAAGCACAGACGTGTGCATGGGTGTACGTGTGGGTTGAAGTTGATCGGTTGATGTTTTTGTTTGGAGAAGGAAAGTCGCTTTCTCTGTCTGTCCCTTTGTATGCTTAAATCTTTGAAACTACGCAACGGATTTTTTAAAAATTGCGGACGTAGCGTTTTCGGCGGTACCGGCCGGCCGCGGTTTTCTCTGTAGCACTTTGAATTTCGCAGCGATCGGGCACGTTTATTATATCGGAGCTCTCCAGCGAGGAAAATAGCAATACTTAGGTAATAAAAACGTTCTTTTCAGCGCGACAACGTATCAGTAATTATAAGTAAGTTACGATAAATAATTGTATGATAGTAGTTTTAAAATATAAATTAGAGGTATTTCAGTAAAAAAAAGAACTGAATAGAATAGGTATCTTTTGTTTTTTATGATTGTTGATTATCTTTTGTTTCTAAATGGTAAGAATTTAGATATTTTTTACTGCGGCACATACTATAAAATGTAAAAAGTAAATAAGTAAAAATGTAGTGTATGAATTTAGATATTCCAAAGATAGCAGGAAATCTTCATGGTATAGGGAAAGGGGGATTGTTTTACTCCAAATTTAACGCGTGCGGGCCAGGGGCAGTAATGAATAAATCAAAACTACTGGATCGATTTTAATTACATGGGCTATATATTTTATACCACAACGTTCACAGTTTTTCTGTAGTGTATTTAGTATCAGTATTGCAACCGTGCGAAGCCGGGGCGGGTCGCTAGTTTTAATATATTTCACATTCGGTGTGCGATTTGCATATTTCAACCCCCGAAAAGCTAGTACACATTGTTCTATACGCTAGAAATACTGTGTTTCATGTTCGGCGGACTTTGCATTTCATTTTGTGTTTTGAAGTTTGAAAAAGTACAATAAGAAAAGAAATAATAATAAATGTTGAAGCAAAACGAAAAGGGTAATGTATACTGCGATAAAATATAACGTGGAAATAAAATATAAACATCGAGGCAATGAATGCAAATTGGACGCGAAACTGTTGAAAATGTTAATGTGAAAAATGCTCCTGGAAATGGCGGAAAAAAAGCTGAGAATCCTGAGTGGTGTAAAGCAGTTGAAACACTTTCAGGCGCTGGCGCTGAAAATGCGACGTTTAACATTCGTTGCACGCTCGATGCGCACCAACAGGATAAAAATGAAAGAAACAAAATAAAAGTAAGCATTTTACATTAATACGCAAATGAGCGAATTAATTTTTATAGTTTTTTTAGCGTAAAAATCTTTCTTTTTTGCTTTGATTCCAAAGTGGAATTCAGCACACGTAATCGTTGTAATCGCTGAGGGAAATCTAGTTGATACTTGAATCTATACTATTTATACAAGTGACTAACTTCGGGGGTTGTGGAAGAGACGTAAAGTCAGATATCAAGCATTCGGCATTCAGCATTCAACCTTCAAGATATCGTATTTCTTTATTTCGCCGCGTTTGGCAATACGATGGAAGTTTATCGAGTTTGAGCGCGCGCACACGGCAGCCGTAAGCAAGGTAGTCAAGAAGCAAGCAATGAGGTGTGAGTGTGAGGGATGAGGGTGCGATATTTATCCACTTGCCAATCCGAACCGAGCCGCACGTCGCCCAAACACTAGCTAGAATATATCGTCCACCAGGGGTGTGCAATAAACGTACATTTTCGCCTACTTTATTCCGATTGAGTCTAAAGATTTTATTCTGTCATTTTCACGAAAAATATAATATAGTTACGCAAACATTTTGATTAAATTTGGATCAAACTACTAATATCTCGTGGTATTTTGTCAGTTTCCAGTTAGGGAATCGATGTAAACAGCCTCAATTCAGGTTGAAAGCAGGGAGACATGCGAAAAGTCACGCAATATGAGTTTCGACATCCCATGCCCAGAATGCCAGCATGCTAGGAATATTCATACAGGTCTATAGAGACTATTGAAGTTGAGACTGCCGACTGCGTACTCTCCTGGCGCGCTCTCCTGACCCTTTCATGAATCCGGCACGTGCCCGGAAAACTCGATTAACAAGAGAACCTCACAGCAACAGCCATCTAAAGTTACCTCTAGTACCGTGTCCTCTGTTAACCGAACATTTAGTTTTTAAAGTTTTTGGGAAAACTGTCATGTGATGTTGGAAAATTTATGTTTTATGATATTTTTGCTAAAATTGTAGGTTTTGATGAAAAAAAAAAGAAGGTTTTAGTAACCAAAACACTTTGTATTGCTTGTGACATCATTGCTAAGATATCAAAACAAAAAATTTGATGGTTATTGGATTAAATGTGCAAAACACTAATAAAATTACGAAATTGCAAGAGAATTATCGATGGTAGGCAACTTTATACACACATATTACCCTTCAATAGAGGAAGTGACGTCAGTGTTGAGTTAATCACTCCAATTAGTCTTTTTCACATATTTTGAATTAAAATATTCATCCACCTCTCGCGTAATAAAAAAATAGTAGCGTATTTTTATTCCATTAACAGGAATTTTCTTGTAATCATTTATCTACGTACAATGTAAGTAAGTGATAGAATGATGTAGTAAAATACCCGTAGAAAGCACTCTACCTCACCCACGAAAATAAAAATCGATAGCATAGTGCGGTGTAGGTGTAATCTACATTGTAAGAGTGTAACGAACGCATTGCATTACACCCCCTGGCATTTTCCTCGCTCACCTGTGCATGAAAACCACCGCCATTAAATAAATGCGTTTCGGAGCGCACCGCCTGCGACAATCGGTCGGTCTTGGCGCTTAATTACGAAATCGATACGTGCCTCCTGAACTTTCCTAGTCATCCAACATCAAGGTGTATCAAACCACCACATCAACCGGCGGCTAGCCTATTGTGGGCGAATGAATAGATGGAAAACAAAACAAATACGAACGCAAACTAAACAAAAGTATAAATCATTGAAATCAAACAAACTTTATAGACGCGATCAATAAATATATCTACATGATAAATTTAAAAACAAAAAATTAATAACAAAATAACAAAAACACTCTGTATATTGAAAAATCTGTAATGTGTGATGACAGTGATCGTAGAGAAGTGTAACCACACTTCATACGACGTACATCCAGGTTTATTGATACTTTTCCTTTTCCTTCTGCTTCATCAGGATAAATATTTGTGATCTAGTATCACATTACAGTATTTTCCATATCAGTACAACGATTTATTCGTTTATTCCCTTAAGATTTACAAAAAATAACTTTCTGGATAAAATTCTGATAAAAAGTTGGTTATGTCTCAAATTTAACAGATTTTGATTTTAAGGTTAAAGCAAATGAAACATTTTCCTCTTAGGAATTGTACGGTTTTCCTCATTTCAGACTGCGGCTTCCGTTGCAACTTCTGTTTGTGGTTTCCTAAACCACACCCGCATCATTTTAGTACTTTCCTCATCAGTCTTCTAGATTAACTACACACAGACTGGTACAAATTGAAATATTTCAATCTTAGACTATACTATTCTATACCTAGTATAATACTAGTTCCTGCAGTTGTTTTATCTCAACTTCACAGTCATGTATTGCTTTTACAATATACTCTGCGATATTGTTTCGCAGTAACAAAGCGTGCAGTGAGTCTCTAACCACTAGAACCACTATAGTCCTTGGAGTCTTTTGTGTCGCCAATGCAACCAACACCAAACTGCGAGTTTTCCAGGCTTTTCCAGCTTGGTTTAAACCTGTTAAAAGTTTCAACAGCTTAATCGCCCCGCAAATGTAACTTGCTGCAACTGGGATTGAAAAACTTTTATCAAATTCACACCGCAAAACAAAACAAACAAAAAATACAGAATCAATCATAATAAAAACTCTGATACAGCACAGA